CAAAGTTTAAATTTTAGGTATCAGCTCGTGGACTCGTACCACGGCCAGCCGACAAATAGCAGTTCTTCAGATTGCTAAAAAGCAGCTTAGTCTAAATCACTTCCTCATAGTTTGCCAGACCCTTCCAATGAAAATATCACCTCAGGGCTCACAGAATATGCAAAGATTTGACTTCAGAAAACGTTTTGGGTCCATTTACGAGTCAAAAACAATCTCTGCACTACATGCTAAGCGCCGTCCACCCTTAACTGGAGCACCGGAATGTTCTGTGCTCCTCTCCAGCCCTGGTGGTTTTCGCTCTGTGGATTTGGGTGGTCAGGTTTTATTATTAATAATAAACTGTGCACAGTCAGGTACTTGGCAAGCTGGTGGGGCCTCGCGGCCCTCGGAGTGTGGTCTTGCGGTGAGCACGCAGGGCCGGCCGGCCGCCGTGGGGGACGCCGCTCGGGGGCTCTTATGTAAGCGGGCCAGGGGCCGGCATCTCCCCCGTGAAGGGATTCTTGTTATGCCGCTTAAAGAGCGTTTGTGGGGGCAAATGCAAATGACACGAGGCATCTCCAGTTTTTGAGCCTGTTCAGCTTCTTGGATTTTTAAAATGACTTTCTTATTGAATGTTTAATATAAAGTTTTGTTGCACTTAAAAACTTCTACAGCCCTTTTAAATTTAAACAATTCTTCAAAAAAGTTTTGTTATGCTTAAAAACTTTTGCAGCACTTTTAAATTTAAATAATTCTTCACTTTTATTTATTGACACCAAATAACGCCGTTAGTTTGAAAGAATAGCAAATGCTTAGAATTTGTGGCAGTTTCCGTCACGTTTAGCATGAACACACTGTCTTCAATCAGCCTAGTGTTTACTTAGGTTAACTACGTTTGGGAATCTAAGATACGCTGTCTTTTAACACAAACTCAAAGGAAAAGATCCAAGAGGCGGCCAGTGTTTGCCTTCTGAGCAGTGTGGCCCGACTACAAGTGGGTGTTTTCACTGCTATTTACAAGCACGGCCTTTCGGGAACACAGTGCAGTCACTTGAGGAAAGCCCTTCACTTTGTTTAAAAATGACGCAGGAGGCTGGCGTTGATGGGCCGAACACCTGATCCTGAGAGCAATTGTTTGTCTCCCTGTGCGGTCGAGCCTTCCTCGGAGGCCAGTGGGGCGGGGGCGGATGTAAATCAGTTGTCCCAGGCAGAAGCCACGCAGAAATCTGTGGCAGATTTTTCATCCAGAGTCACCTTGTCCAGGGGCCCACGGCGCTGCTCAGCCTGCTGGGGCCGGGGCCGTGGCCGTGCCCGCGTGGGGGAGCAGCCCTGGCTGCCGTGCTCCGCCTGCGCCCGCACCACTTGTCTCGGTCCCTCTTCCTGCTCAGCTTTTCTGCAGGGCTGTTCTGCCACCCAGTGTGAAAATCTTTCTCTTTTCTTCCTCCCTCCCTCCCCATCACCCAGTGGGGTCTCCATACACATCTTTCAGGAGGACGGATGACAATGTGAGTTAAGTGACAAAGCAAAGTAAAATGCAGAGAAGTGTGCTATCTATTTACTGAGTGTGTTTTTTGATTCTAGAGCCTTCATTTAAGTGGGGAAATCTGTGGACAGATGCTTATATTACCAGAAGTGGGGGACGGGGGTGGGTAAATACGTACCCAGAAGTAGAGGAGCAGGCTAGGGTCAGACTCAGCCTCTTAAATTTCGAGTTCTAGTAAAGTCCAAAGAATGAAAGAAGATTCCTCCATGCTTAACAAAGGCAGCTGCGGCCCCACGATCCTGTTCACTGTGTTCACTGCCGAGGCCCAGGAGCTCCGGCCACACCCACCTCCCCTGCGTGGAGGGAGCCAGCGTAGGTGCCGGGCTGGTGGTGGCCGTGGGGAGCCAGGCAGGGCCACTGCGGTGTCGCCAGGGTGGGGAGAGGGTGGAGTTTTCGGGGACTCCACAAGCACGGGGTGCGCTGTTCGCTCTGCTCCTGGAGGGCCTGCGCTCTCCCGGAAAGGGAAAGTGGGTCCATGTTCATGCCTGTCGTGTTTCTGGAACCTACCTTTTTGAGGAGGCGGGGCTTAACTAGCACCCAGGTTTGGTTTACTGGAAAATCGTGAGGGGCGTCCCCAGCCTGTGCCCTGAGAGCTCTTCTGCCCGTCCTGCCTTGTGTCCTCCACACAGGGAGCAGCACTTGGGCAGGGCCCTGGGGTCATGCCCTCTGGCACTTGGGTCTCCATCATTGTCATGACTGCACTGTGACTGCTTCCCCACCCCACCAGCAGCACTGGGGGATGGCGGTTAAAAGGAAAAAGCCGTCATCAGTGTAAAAATCGGAGCTACTCCTTTCGCTTCTTTCATCGGTGGAGCGAAGCGTATTTCGTGCACTTCCTGGCAGATTTGCTCGGTGCGTGTTGAGTCACTCCGCTGTGTCCTTTTTGCTCACCTGTCTCCCCGACACCTGGCGTTTCCCGGGTTACTGTGGTAATGGCGACAACTTTGTGTATTTATAAGCCAGCCCTTCGGTCGGCGAACGTCTGGGGTCTCTTTCCAAAGCTGGCAGCTCGCTGCCACGGGTCTTTCGGGAGCGCCGGCGGCCGTGTGTCTGGGAAGGTTAGGAGCGGACCGGGCATCGCCGTCAGCACGTGGTCTCCTGGCAGCTGCACTACAGACGGACAGACAGCCAGGCTGGAAGTGCTGACAGCGAATTTCAGGTCCAACCAAGGCTGGGCAGCTGGAAGCGATGTTGCAGATTCGGTCACCACTTCTGTCGCCTGATCCGGGGATCCCTCCCGTGTCCCCCACCCCACCCCCGGCAGCGCCCGCCGTGGTCACAGCCTACGTGACGCAGAGTGTCCTCAACAGCAAGATCTCAGGGGCCGCACGAGAGCTTCTCTTCTTGAGCAGCGAGGTGGTTTCCCGAGACCCCGAGGAGCCCCGAGAGCGAGCCTGGTGCGTCATGACGGACCCTGCGGAGCCCGCGCTGGCGTCGGTGCAGTTACCTCTCCCTGTGTGTCCTGGTGGTGCGTTCCGCGCTCCCGCAGCCTTGGTGGACCCTTTCCCGGAGTTCGTTGCTGCTGACCCTCGTCCACGCACCGTAGCCGCGGCAGGACGGTGTGTGCGGTGCGCGGAAGTGCGTGTGACTGAGCAAAGTGCCACCTGTGAGCGCTAACAGATGCATTTGGTGTGTGATAAGGTGGTAGTGAAAATATAAATTTCTCTGGTGATGTTAACGATTTATTAGCAATTTCCAAGTATCCACAGAACCTCGTACACTAAAATCCATCTCAGGCACATCAGAGTGAGTCACGAAAAAAATATTAGCAAATAACTAAATGAATGAAAACTCGACTCCTGAACAACAGGGATGAAATAAAAATGATTAAAAACCAATGAAGGGTTTTTCAGTGAATTGCAATGCTTCAAGGAAATGGGGGAAATCACAGAGGAAAAACTGGAATAACTTCATAAAAACAAGCATTTGAATGTTACAACATCCAGGCTTTAAAAGGAAACGAGAGACGGGGTGATCGCGCACACACGTAAACCGCCAAGAGCCGCGCTCTGGGGCTCCGGTGACACCTGGCAAGTGAAGCAGCCTCAGCTGAGAGTCACCTGACCAGTCCGTGTCCTTCATCGACGACTGGGGAACGAGGACTGCTATTTATAGCTTTACGTGTCCGGACCGTGCCAGAGCTAGCGTGCTCTGGGAGGCTCTCCGTAAGTTCATCATTGTAAGAGAAGCCACGCAGCTCCGACGGGTAAAACTGCAAAACACACAGACCCACGGCAGTGCCACCACCGCCACACACGTCACAGAAAGACCCCCCAGGACAGATAAGCCAAGGACGTCACGTACATCACAAGAGAGAACAGCAAGGTCGTGCCCAGGGGTTCTCAGGACACCGGTATGCCGCCCACAGCCGCGTCTAGGCCAGCGGGTCCTGCGTGGGAGCGGCAGGCCCGAGCCGCTGGTGCAGGCGCACGGGATGGTGCCCGGTGGTCAGTGTGGAGAGACGTTTTGGAAGCCCTTTAGCAAGATGTTTCAAGGATTATATGATATTAAGTTTCTTGGATGCGGTCGTTTTTCTAATCTTTCGTAAGCAAGTTATTCTAAATATGGTAGATGTTGTCTATTCATAAATGCTCATCGCTACGTGGTTTCCAACAGCAAGAAATGCCTCCCGGTCAGGACGTGGTTCTGTGAACCGTGCTCCACTCGCCTCGTGAAGTGTGTTTTGGACCATCCAAAATTCTGTTTGGATACTGCGCAACACCAGGGAAAACACTTGAGGTTTTCCCGAGTTGGTGTATGTAAAAGCGCCGCGCGGTGCAGTCGTGGCTCTGAGGCCGCAGCGTAAACGCTGACGGGACTTGTGTTCAGGTGCTGTTACTGGGCAGGGGTTTTGGGTCTTTGTTTCTATTTCTCAAACGGGGCTTTGAGAAACAGTCGCCACCAGCACACGGAAACCACAAAGCACAGGCTCTCGACTTTGGTCCGACTTGGCGAAACCCCCTTTGCCTGAGGAAGCCATTGCCAGGCCGGCGGGGACAGAAGCGCCCCCCGATGCTGCTGGAGCAGACCTGGCCGTGGGTTGCCAGGTGTTACACATGGGCCTGCTGCGAGGGGCTCTGTCCCTGTCACCGCGGGCCGTGCGCGAGCTGCTCTGTTGCACAAGCCTCTCCTAGATGCTTTGCAGGGGCAGGAGTGAAACCGCCGCCCTGCCAGCAACAGGTGCAGAGTGTTCTTTATGTGAGAGTATTAGAACTGCCTTCGGAAGTGGGTTTTGTGTCAGCTAACTATAATCTTTCTGATGATCAAATCTGCATTCCGAATAGAATGCGATTCTGTAGAAATCTAGATGGGAAGAAGACCCCTGTTAAAACCCTCCCTGCCTTCCCTGATGTTGAGGGACGTTTGCAGAATCACAGCCTCCATCCATCTCTGTCCCTTTCTCCCCTCTGGAGCTCTGTCGCCCGGCACTGCTGCCCTGGGCCACACGTCACCCACCACTGTGCTTTTTCCCTCACAGGTGCCGTGGCCAGCACAGAAGTGAAGATGAAGTTACAAGAGTTTGTCCTCAATAAGAAGAAGGCTCTGGCCCACCGGAACCTGAACCCCTGCATCTCCAGCGACCCTCGGTACTGGTACGGGTAAGTGGGGGTGCGGCGACATCCGGACCCGGTGACGTGGCGACCACATGACGTGGCGGTGGATTTGAGCGGACCCAGCTCTTTGCCGTCTAAGGCGGGTGGCAGGGTGAGGTCTGGGGATCCCGGACAGGGTGGCTGCCCACACGGGATGGGCCCATCTTTGGAGGAAATGAGGGATGCTCCGAGGGCTGGTGGTGCCTGTCATGATTCTTGGCTTTTTGTGCCATTTTCCGGCCACAACAGGAGCCGCTTAAACTGGAACTCTGGTCTAAATCATCTGTGCGAATCTGCAGCATTTCTGCCTAATGTCTCATCGGTTCTTAGGCAAGTTATTGAGCACTTTGGTATTTTTATTATTTTATACCAAGGCCTCTGCCAGAGCCTACGTAATTAACAGAGACCACAAAAGAGCCCGTTTGGTCTAAGAAGTGAAGGAAGCCACGTGCCGACTGAGGGACCATCTTCCCGGGCCTGGTTAACGGGCCGGGCCGGAGCGGAGTGGCTGAGTTACGTGGCTTTAACGATTGTCAGAGGTGACAGGTGTTTGCTTTGGCATACAGTTTTCTGCTGCTCTCAGGGTCATCTCGTTTCTAAGAAAAACCCGTGGGGTAGTTTTCATAAATCAAAATGCAGCCAGAAATTTCATCAGGAAAAAATTTAGCTATTTTTGAGCCTAAAAATGGGCAACTATCGTAGTAAAACACGACCAAAGCCATGGAAGTGGTGCCGTTTATTTCAGTGGATGCCAGTAGTTAGCGCAGCAGGACGCAGACACTCGCAGGCTGTCCGCCCTGCGCCTCGGCTCTTGGTGGCTACTGCATGTCACAGGTGCGCTGAAGCTGGGCTCTCGCCGGAACGCGCTGCTGGCATTTGCGACAAAACCGCACAGAGCAGAGTGAGGCAGCAGCGGCCCCTGGAAAGCAGCGTGAGCGCAGTGAGGCAGTGCGACCCGAGAGCGGAGGGGTCGCGGAAGTGCTGGCGGCCAGCCACGCTTTAGGTCCTGCTGGTGGGCAGGTCCGTGGTCTCCCCGCTGGAGACTGTCCGCCACTGGACTTGTGGGAAAGCTCTGTTGTCCCACTGGTCGGGGTGGGGTGAGGGCTGCCAGGCAGAGAGGCAGAGGACAGAGTGTGGGTGCAGTTCGGGTGGTGTCCCCGGGCTCAAGCAGGAAGGGCGGAAGGAGAAGCGGGGGAGGGGAGGCTCCAGGCCTGGGAGAGGATGGAGGAACCTGAGGGTGTGGGCCATGGTTTGGGGGCTCTTGGGGCAGCAAAAGGAGGCTTCAGAGAAGGAGTGGTTCTCGGGGAGGCAGGCCAGGGGCGGCGGGGCAGAGGGTGTGGGGTGGCAGGAAGCAGGGATTGCAGCCTGGGGCAGCTGGGCCAGCCCCTTGGAAGAGGTGGGAGGGTGGGGCAGGGAGAAGAGGCTGGCAGGAACGGAGGCTGCAGTGAGGGCAGAGGGCTGGGGGAGAGGTGTCCCCCCCCCAGTCAAGAGGCCACAGGAGAGGGGTGGGCTCAGGCAGCAACAGGGCATTAAGGAACTTGCAGAAAGGTGGGAAATGGGGGTGGGGCTTCCAGGGAGTAGGTGAACAGGGAAGTACCTGTGCGAAGAGGGAAGGATTCGCCGTTCCTGGAGATCCCTGGTGAGCAGGACGCCCACGGTAGGGGTCTGCCCTGGAGCAGGGCCGCTTGCCCTGGCCTGATGGCCAGCGGCTGCCCTCTTCTTGGAGAGGTTTTGGGGCGTGAAAACTGCGGGGGTGAAGAACTTGATCTCAGGGAAGTCGACCAGGGGGCGGGTTTGTTTTCACTGAGTGTGGCAGCTTTCTTATTTCGACATCTGAGGACCCTAAACCAAACATCGTGGAGCGAACGCTCAAGTTCACTTGCTGCATGATGGCAAAAGCATCAACAGAAAACCGAGTCTTCACGGGGAAGGGTCTCTGTCTGGATCCCAGCTTCTCACCACACCGGATGGTTTGCTTGGACGTCATAGACATAAGTATAAAAGCTTAAACCCATCAAACTTCTAGAAGTAAACATAGGAGAAAGTTTTCACAACCTTGGGAGAGAGAGATAGGCAAAGATTTCTTAAGTCACCAAAATCATCAACTGGAAACCCAAAACTGGAAATACGAGATTTCACCAAACTGAAACATTTCTGCTCTTTGAATGGCTCCACCAAGAAAACGAAAGGGCGGGTCACAGACTGGAGGGATGTGGGGAATCGCAGTCACCCCTTGGCATCCCCGGGGACTGGTCCCAGGACCCCTGTGTGTACCTAAACTTGCGCACACTCAAGTTTGCTCAAAAACAACCTGCGTGTAAGTGCACCCTCGCAGTTCACGGGTCAGCTGGACTCACGACGCATACATCTGATAAACTACTCGTGTCCAAAATACATAGCCCGTGCAGCTCGGTGATAAAAAGACAAGCCCACTGGAAAAACATACGTGCAAAAGGCTCGAGCAAGCACCTCACAAAATCAGGTCTGCAGATGGCCTGTGAGCACATGGAAGGAGGGTGAACATCACCAGTCATCGGGGGCGGGCGAATGGAAACCTCTGCGAGCAACCACGCCGCATCTGCTGGGCGGCCGGAGTCAGGCAGGCCAGGCGTGGGGCAGGGCGTGAAGGGCGGACCCGACCGCCACATGTTGCCTGTGGGAATTTAAATAGCACAGCCACTCCGGGAAACACTTGGTGGTTTTTTATAAAGGTAACCGTCCACCTGCCTCAGGACCCGCAGTGCTGCTCCTAGGTATTTACCGAGACAGACGGACTGGCACTCTTACGGTTGTGGACGCCAAAGGGTGGAAACAGCCCAGGGGCCCATCAGCAGGCGAACGGCCGTGCAGACCGGGTACCCCCAGGCACTAGGACAGGACTGTGCAAGAAGGCGGAGCGGACTGCTGATACCTGCAGCAACTTGGCTTCATCTCAGGCTCCTCGTACCTAGACGAAGCGGCCAGACACGAAGCGCGTCCGAGTGACTGCGCTGGTGTGCGGGTCGGAGAGAGCCCAACTCATCCACAGGGAGAGACTGCGGGTCGGGGCTGGAGACTGGAGGTGGCAGCAGAGGGCAGAGGGGAGTGTGCAGATGGGAAGGGCTGCGTCCTCACTGGGGCGGTGACCCCTCGGGTGTTCACCTGCGTAAAGACTCCAGCTGTAAAATCGCTCCGCAAGAATACGCTGTACAGAGTGGCTGCCCAGAGCCACGTGTGGCTCCTGAGCACTTGAAATAGGGCTGGTCGGGACCGAGGTCTGCTGCGTTTATAGAACACAGGATTTCGGACACTCGGCACGAAAAAGAGAATGTAAGATATTGCATTAATAAGTTTATAGTGATTATATGTTGAAGTGGTTATATTTTGGCAATACTGGGTTAAACAGAATACTAAAATAAATTTCACTCCGTTCTCTTTATTTTAATGTGGCTGCTACAAAATTTTAAGTGACACAGGGAGTTCCCATTACATTTTCTGTCGAGTGCGCTGACATATCCAACTGACAGTTTTATTTATCTGAAATCACCAGTATAAATCTGATGTCATGGGAGAGGCCTGTTGTTTAGAATTTAAGTGGTTGAGCTTGTGTTAAGCTCTATTCTACAGTTAAGGTAATGTTTAGAAAGAAAACAGAGTGGTATTTGTTTTTCTGTCCTCATGAGTAAGACCCAGGCTGCCTTAGGCGCAGTGTCTGGGCCACTGCGTGGCCGGCTGGGATCGTGTGTGGCCCCGTCCCGCCCTGGCCTCCGTGGGCCGGTCTCGGGCTGGCAGTGCGAGGTTGGAGAACGGGAAGATGATTCCTGGCCCAGGTGAGTCAGATGGAAGGAGCAGCTCTGCACGGCCTGCCCTTAGGGGTGTAAGGGTGTGGGCGTGAGGGGGTCTGGGTGAGTGTGGATGAGTGTGTGCATGGGTGGGTTTGGGTGTGAGTTGAGTGTAGGGAGTGTGAGGTGAGAGTGAGTAGGTGTGAGGTGAGTGTGGAGTGTGAGGTGAGTGTGGAGTATGAGGTGTGAGTAGGTGTGAGATGAGTGTCAGGTGAGTATGGAGTGTCAGGTGTGAGGTGTGAGGTGAATATGGAGTGTGAGTTGGTGTGAGGTGAGTGTGAGTAGGTGTGAGGTGAGTGGAGTATGAGGTGAGTGTCAGTTGGTATGGGGTGAGTGTGAGTAGGTGTGAGGTGAGTGGAGTGTGAGGTGAGTGTGAGTAGGTGTGTGAGTGGAGTGTGAGTTGGTGTGAGGTGTGAGTTG